GGAAGGCTGAAGGAATTATAGAAGAGATAAGACTGAAAAACATAACTGCTTTCTCCCTGTATATAGAAGTTGCTCAGTGATCTCCAGTTAAGATACAAGAAGAAATTTACTCATAGACAGATAATTCAGGTTGATACCAGGGAAAAACATCATTTGTGGATACTGAAGATTGATCATAAACTGAGTTTTTAAAGGCATGCACCAGAGACAGCGTAACAACAGACCTAGCTGTCTGCAGGAGGTCAAACTTAATGGTCCCTTTACATCTTTCAAATCCTTATTGTGTGGATTCTGTTCTTTGCAGTGTAGCTGTTGCCACGTGTATTTTTACTGGTTCCACTCCACGGATGAGACTGAATACACTAAAACCACTGAAGTACACAGACAGGAACATCCATCATCACAGTCCAGATCTCTCATCAATTTTCTGCAGTGGGAACAGATTTTGGAGGTTCTTCTTATGAGAGGGAAATTTTTTAGAAAGAAATTCAGTGTTTTTGCCAGCATCATATGAACACATACACTGATCATTGGTAGGATGTAGTGATTTTTTTTGCTTTGCTTTTATTCTGATTATGACACAACCCCTTGTACACAAACCTGCTTTTTTTGTTGCTTTTTAATATGTATTTCTGCTTGTATGCATACAGGTTAATATTTGATGTTTTACGTGTCCTGGATGTAGTTTAATTTTAGAAACACAATTAAGATGCATACAGAAGTTACCTACATATAATACATACCATTTGGGGAAAGACTGCCTTAATTGCTCTGAAACACAAGTATTCTTAAAGCCTTATGGAAATGGGCATCTCATGAAACAGGCAGAGGAAAGGTGATCTTCCCCCAACATGTGTGATCCTGCTGAAACAATTTCAATTACATATTTTCTGTTTCTGACACGTATTTGTTTAAATTGGATAGCTTTACCAACTTAAAAACCTTGAGATTAATTTTGAAGCATCTCTGATGATTTCAGCTGCAAGTCAGCAATTACTTTTCTAAAGGGTGAGACCATTAGAAAAAAAGACCATCAGCAAGCCTTGCTTTGTTAACTGACAATTAAGTACTTTTATTTCCATGTGCAATTGTGAGATTTTTGTGTAACTTAACATGAAGAAAGATTCCATATTTATTAAATGTGCTTAAAACTACCTTAAACTTGACTTGGGCACATACCTTTGATATGAAAAGTAGGAGATTAGAGACAGAATCTGACATTGTACATGTATACAAAGTGTGTTTTGGATGTGGGATGTTTTTGGATGCCTTAAGTGCTTTCATTTTTACTACGTTAAATTTTTCCATAATTTTGTTTTCCTGATTACGTAGTCTTTGATCTTTATTTTTCATGACATAGTTGCATCCATTATTTTCTTCTTCTTCTGCATGACTCCATACATAAGTTTGAAATCACTGCCTTCCATAAAGTTTCCCTTTTGCTCACAATCACAGCTCTGGCTTAGGAGAGGTACTGTTTCGCAGTAGCTGTGCACGGTTCTGGGCTGTGCACCACACTCCTGTTTTCTTCTAGAAAATTGTGACCATCCAGATGTAACCCAGACCTTCCACAAAGTAAGGTTGTTTACTGAAGCCCTTTACTGAGGCTGATGATGCTGCGCATACTTTTCCATCGGTCTTTTATATCTATAACTCTCACTTTGATGCTGAACGAGTCGTAACTTTTTTTGGTCCAATACATCTGCTTGATCTCAGAGAACTCAAATTTAAGGAAAAATTGTTTCTCTCTGAATGATTATAATGCAGTAATGGCTAAGAAGGTACAGCAGGTATTTAAGCAAAAGCCACAGCAATGAATAGCTAGATTTTTCTTTTCAAAATACTCATGACACTAACAGAAAATCTAATAGATGTTCATTATGGTTAATCTGCAAGAACACAACCTTGCATTTTGAGATAGGCTGATCAGATTTGAAAGATTTAAGAAGACATTTCAGACTAAGTCCTGATGATCACAGCCCATACTTATTTACTATTTACTCAACAAACTATCTATAATGTCAAAATTTAAGAAAAACTTATCTTGATGCATTGTCATAGGCAAGGGGTACTTTTCCATCTGGGAATATTCTGGAAGAGTAAATATATCTGATTTTGCTTTAAAAATGCATAGGGGAAAATAGGCATCAGGTCATAAAGATAGAAGGAAAATATATATTTAATAGAGGAAATAGATGGTGCATCAATAATACGTTCAAAGAACTGTTCCAAAAGCAGCAGTGGAAAACAATGAAACATAATTCAGTCCATAATCATTATTTTCTAAATGGCATTACTGTTAAAAAACTTAAATTTGTAGTCTGCAAAATGGGTTTGTGGACTGTACATTACAAAGATTTGATTCAGAGTACCTATAAATTCTCTAAAATGTCTATATTTGATTTATGTAACAGTAAAACAAAATAAGTAATGCATACAGCCAGAACTATAGAAGCTGCAAAAATGTAACCCTGATTCTATTTTCTTAAGTGAGGAAATAGAGTTCCAAGGGGTAATGTTCCCTGTTCTGTTGGCTAATCTTACAAAGCTATAGCTAAAACAAGAATTAATTGGGAAAGAATTAGAAATATAAAGAAGAAAAACACGTTTTTGTCATTTCACTACTAAGTCATCTGATTTGTATTTATTAATACAAGTTTTAATGCAGGAAGAGAAGGAAAAATGAGATTTGTGAGATGAAATAAAAATCCATCTTCACCTAAGGTAATCAGCTTTTCACTCTGTGCAGTGCTGTGACAATGGAGCAATGCAGATGTAAATGTTTGTAAATTCAGGATCTTGGTGTGAGTGTTTGTAAATCCATACTTGAAATAGTCAGCTTGTAGGGGCTGCTAGAAGCCAGGAAGTAATGAGCTGCTCCATTTTGTTCCTGGGTTCTTACTCAGACAACTAACGCTTGGACTGAAAAAAAACCGCTGTAAATTCTGTATGATTTTCGCCAGCAGGGATAGGAATGCTCATTTCCTCATTGCTCACTCAATCAGTTCTTATACATGACAAAATCCTATGGTTCCAACCAGAGTTAGGAGGCTGGTGGAAAGGCTTGGCTCATCAGTATGGCGCTCCCCCCAGATACTTTGCAAACAAACAACAAACAACCAAACCAACAAAGCTGAGCATAATAACATAACTTAAAAAAGCTTCATGGAATAAAAGGAGAGAAAGATTTTACTGCATACTAGCTGCTTGTATCCTATTAAAAGAAAGGGAAAAAAAAAAACCAACACAACAAAACCAAACAGAATATCGCAATGAGATGTAATTTGAGAGCTCTTCTAAAATCAACTCTGCAGCCAGATTAATACTGATAATTTCTTCTATTGCTATTTATACTTTGATCTTTTAATGTTAGGTTTCTAGTATGCACATATGGTCTTCTGCTTTTTTAATCTATAATTAGCTTGCACTGAATTTTCCTAATCTATTTCCATCTAATTTTGTTACTAATGAAAGCGGGATATTTTGTGATACTTCTCTCATGAAAAGTCATTTTTTCCACATCTAAATATGTTGAGAATGGAGAAGTGTAAATGTGGCAGCACTGATTCAGGTTGTGGAATTCTTATTTCAGTATTTTTATTTTCATTATTTTATTTATTAGCTCTGGCAACATAGCATTCAGGGAGCAGTCTGATATCTTTCAGGTCTTACAGGGCACCTCTGTGCTTTTAGTTGTTTTTCTGCATTTCTTTCTTGTGTCCAAACTAAGCACTCTCCTTTGTGTGTCTTTAAGCACATGGGCTTATGGTTGCTATGTGTACAGAAACCTCAGGAATGAAAATAATTGAGAAATCTTGCAATCTTTCTTTGTCTAACTTTTAATCTTCAGAAGCGCTAGGCACATGAACTCAACCTAGTTTAGGATTTCATTGGGCATACGTACTCTTTAAGTTTCATCAGTTGTGGAAGCTTGCTTTTCAGTAATTGGTCATAAAAATTCCTCATTTCTGCAGTAAAGGTAGTATTAATGAAATGCCAGCATTAGGAACTTGTGAAATAAAGCTACCTCTGGTATCTCTGGATTTTTAGACTTCTAAATGGTCAGAATGTACCTTCTGGTTTTTAAAAACTGTGCATGTGGTAGCTAAGTATCCTGGGAAAGTATTTTAGAAGTATCCTTTTTAAAATATAAATACCTACACGTTAGAAAACAAGTGTATTTTTATTTATTTATATTTATTGTAAAAATCACATACATCTCAGGCCATGACTTGCAGTTTCTGTGCAGTTGCCTTGCCAACGCCGTGCTTTTTGCAGAATCCCAGTTTTGCATTTAAACGTAACTCGGCCACGAGAAAGCCGACCGACAACGGTCCGTCAGACCTTTGTGGCCCGCTGCCGTATTGTGCCCGAGCAGGGGAAGCCAGCAGGGCCCCGTCCTGCGCACTGAGCTCCCTGCTTCTTGAAAGTTCATTCATTTTACGCGGTCCGATCCACCTCCTCACCTCCAAAAAGCTGCCGCCTCCTATCTGATAGGGGGGAGCGCGGACCCGAGCCGTTACCGGGCGCAGCCCTACTGCGGCCATTTTATCGCCCGGGGGCCGGGGCACGCCGGCGGCCCCGCTCCGCCCGGGGACGGGCGAGCCAGGGTTCCGGGGAGGCCCCGCCGCGCCGTTCATGGAGGAGAGGGGCGGCAGCGCAGCGCGCACCGCTTCCTCGTCCTCCCCCTCGGCTCGGAGGCGCCTCCGGCGGAGCTCCGGCCAGGCCCGTCTCCCTTCGCCGGGCGCCACCGGCCGCCGCGGGGCCGGGCCCGGCCGGCATCGGCGCGGGGGGCTGCGGCGGGCGGGCAGGGTGAGGGAGGAGCGGGCGCGCCGCCGCCGCCGCTTTCTCCTGCGCGGGGCCGGAAGGCAGCGCGGCCCGGGCAGCCGTGCGCGCCGTGCGGGAGGAGGGCCGGGCCTCGGCGTCGCCGCCGCTGCGGGTCAGGCAGCCTTCCGCAGTGGGGGTGGGTGAGCGGCGGAGCGCGCAGGCCGGGGGAAGGGCCAGGCCCCGCCGCCTCGCTGGGCGATGGAGTGAGGCAGCGCGGCTCGAGGAAGATGGCCGGTGGCGGCGGCGGCGGCGGCTGCAGAGACAGCTTGTTTCTGGAAGGTGCGTGCACGGCTGGCAGGGGGAGAGCGGCCCGTGGGCCGCCTTTCCTTCTGGCAACCGGCGAGGGGCACGATACGGACTGGGGGACGGGGGAGGCGAGCGTATGTGTGTGTGTGCGCATCGGGGGGGAGGAACGGGTCCCCTTGGGGGGACGACGACAATGAGAGGTGCCTCGGTGGCGTGGGGGAAGGGTGGGTGCCGTAGAGGGTGGCTTCGTTTGGTAAAAAGAGACCTGCTTCGGGGGAGGGCTTAGCGAGGGGGATTTGATTTCTGGTTCTTTCTTTCTTTCTGTATTTTTCGGGGACGGTGGGAGCGTGGCGCTCTGCTGCCGGGGCAGAGCGCGGTCGGGGCCGGGCGCAGCGCGGCCGGGCGGGCGGCGGGAGCGGCCGCGGGAGGGCGGGGGCTGCCGGGCCGGCAAGGTTAGCGCGAGGTGAGGGCAGCGCCGCCCGGGCGGCATTGCCTGCCGTGCTGCTGCCGGGCCCCGGCCTGGGCTGAGCCCGTTCCCCCCACCGTACGGCTGGTCCGCTTCTGAATCGCTAGCGTAAAGGCCCACGTGGGGCTGAGGTTAATTTGGGGAGGGGGTCTCTTTATTCTTACGTTTGTTTTACAAGCCCGACGATGAATCTGTCAGCTGCAAATGAAAGGAACCTTTAGCGGTTGTGAAGCCTTGCATAATTTTTTTTTTAATTTGCAAGGGTTTGTTTTTTGTTTTTTGTTTTTTTTTTCTCTGTAAAGCTCTTAATTGTAGTGTAAAAAGTCTGCTGAAATTCGAATATGTTTAATTGTTGAATCTTCACAGTTTAACTCATGTGAAAGAAAATATTATTGCAGTCTCTCAAAATTGCAGTAAGCGCGTAGCTGATCGACACAGGCTGATAGCTGCTCAGTTTTTACCATAGTGATAGGTAAAAAAAATATATTGATGAAATAGACTGTTTCTCATGAGTATATTTCAAGTCAGATCTAAGTTTAGCAGTTGAGATTTTGTGTGCCTGTATTGATAGGTATTGTCCTTCGAAACCTTTATCTTCCTGAGGGATGTTGAATTTTGTTCTTTTATTACTAGAGGTTCTGGATTGGAATTTCTGCATAAATAAAATAGTATCTGTTCTTCTGAATAATTGGTCTGAAGTTCCGATGTTCAGAAACCCTTGGTCAGTAACTACCGTTCCGTTACCTTACTTCTGCCTTTAAAGCATTTGATGGTGAAACACAGGTGCTCCATTGCAGGCACTGCATTTTTCTTCTGAACTCTCTCCATTGAATACCGTGAAGATGGTGTGCTGCTAAAAGTGTCACAAAGATGTTCAGTCGCTGTCTCCCCTGTGCACCTTGCGTGCATACTGGTTGGGCAGTTGCTCACAGACAATAAGCTCCATACACGGTATCCACATTTCTTATTTTTGAGGTCGTATTTCAGTAGCAGTTACTGGCATGACACTGGGTAGCATCCTCCTTGGAAGTTTCAGTATTGCATGACTGATGGACAGGGTAATCAATCAGTTCTGTGTTTCCCTGTTATTTGGGGTCATGTTAATTTTAGCACTAATGGCATGATTGGGTACAAAACCTGAGAATGTGTGGGTGCATTTGCATGCGTGTGTTAGGAATCTTGTGTGAAGAAAACCTAATGTGGACAGTGGTGACAGAAATACCTGAGGGGTAGACCAAATCCAGATAGGATAATCACACTGGGGCAGATCTAATAAGAGCAGTCTAACTTTGTACTCATTTGAATCAAGGAAAAAGACGGCCTAAGATGTCACTTGGGAGGCTCTTGGAAGGGAGGGTTGACTTCATAGGGAAAAATAAAGGTATTTAAGCTATATGTATGTAGGTTTTCTAGCAGTCTTTAATCTGGACACACATGATAGCATGTTAGATTAACCCTGATGATGTAGAACAACCATTATTCAAAGATTGAATGTTAGACAAGCATGGGAGTGCCAGATTTGTGAAACAAGTACAGCATGGAGAGGAGCAAGGATACACGTGTATTGAGTAGGGGGCATGACAGCTTCTACTGCAAGGTCGTCATTACTGTGTGAGCCTAGAATTCTAACTATACTTAGTCTGAGTCTATGTATTTCACAGACTCCAGTGTATGCAGAAATCTGCAAAAGCAGCAAGCTGCAATTGCTTATGTGATGTTTTTTGGAAGGTTGGGAGAGGGAGAACTGAGAATTCCTCTGTAAATCTCTGCCATTAATGTGCAGAACAAATGAGTTAGGTACCAAATGCAGTTGTGTCAACTGTAATTGAACTCAATCTAATAGAAATACGTGTCTCTCTGTTTGTATTTGTATATATACATAGAAAGAAAATTCTGATGCTGTCGAACTTGTGTTGACTATCAATCTGACTTAAAATAAACATGCAGTTAAAATAAATTATTCCTTCCAAGAATGATATTCAGAATTTTGGTTTGGATAACAACTGTCCAGTAAGATACTACTTCTTTTTCTTACTTAGTGTAATAGACATTACTGTGAAGAAATGTGGTTGTCATTCTGTTGTCAAAGTGTTTCCTTTTAATATTTTTATTGTTTCATTCTCCAATAAAAACAGAGTAATCTTTCTGGAAGGGTGTTCCTTGACTGATTTATCTGCTGTCTTTCTGGTAACGCTGTTCTTCACTGGTGTGATTCATACAGATATTCATTTTGGCCAGTTTTTCCATACTGTTAAGCTTTGTGTTGTACAGACTGTCTTATGGAAGTTGTGAAAAAGGTCCCTAGAATGATAATGTCTGTCTCTTTAAAGCTGAGTTCACTATCCTTCTGCAGTAGTGCTCCTAGTTTTTAGTATTGATAATTGATATTGATATTGTATATGTTGGTATATATAACTTGCATGTTTACTTCCTCTGAAATGTTGAGACACTGAACATTCAGAAGAACTGAGAGTACCAAATTTAAGCTTGCCTGGAATTAGAATTACTAAAACTTTTTCCTTGTTCTGGATTTACTTTCCTCCAGTAAGTTTTAGCCATGGGAAGAAAGTGCAGCAATTTATGCTAACAAAGTAGGCCCCATGCATGGGAGTTCTTTCCTGTTTTGGAGGACTAGAAATTTGGTGAACAGAGATTTACATCTGCATCAATTCATGTGCTTTTGATAGGCATAAAATGTAATGCAAGGATTGACAAATCCGTTTAGATTTAGGATAGGGAAATGTTCAGTGCTTGCTGTAGGAGTGGAGAGTACTATTGATTATTTCCCCTGTGGAAAAATTTGGGGAACTGTGTTTTATTCTGCCGCTTTGGATGTTATTGAGCTGCGAGGGAATTGCCTGTTACCTATTACAGAAACATAGAGAAACTTTAAGGCTGGAGGACAAGAAATGATGAACTCTTTAAAGTATTCCTAAACACGTTTATTTTGCAGAAGAAACGAAAATGCTTTTATTCCTTCCTGTTTTCTTTTTTCAGTCTCCTAGTAGTTAAAATAGTGATACCAAGAACTGATTTTCTGTTAAGTTTCTGTTTGAGGACCTCCTCTCTAAGGAATGTGGCCAGTCACTACCTTCAGAGCTGCTGAGAGACTTTGGTGCAGCCATGACAGGAATTTGCACAATTTTCATTCCATTTTCTTGGCTACAAGTTTCCTAATGGCAATAGAGAAAACTACTTGGATAACCCATTAGCAGCAGCAGCAGCTTCAGTTGTCTGAGGAATCCAGAAAGCTGCTTGGTTTTTCATTCATCTCACATGTTAAGAACTGTATTCTGAAAATCAGAGGCTGCGGGCTTGTGTGTTTTCTTAAGGGAAGCTGAGATTCTGAAGCAGCACAGAAACACACAGTCTGTGTATATGACTGTATAGACAGAGTGCTGCCACTTGAAGCGGCCGTCAGCCTTTCCTGCTTTTTCATTATTTTTATCTTTCTGTGAAATATCTGATGAGAATAACACAAATTAGGATGGCAGAGCAGAGTTCCTATTTAGGTAGAATACTTGAAAATTTTTTACCTGCTATGACTGTTCTCTAATTTATTTTCTCTTGATTGTGAAATTATGTCTGAAGTGTCTCCACTGCCATCTCTGACGCTTTTTTATGACTTCATGGAGATAGGTATTAACTTGGAACTGGAGGAAGATCATTCATTTTCTTCCATGTCTTTTTCAGAATCTGAACTACTTTATGCTGTTGGTCTCCGTCAGCTCAATCAGTGTCTGAATATGTTCTGTTCTTCTGTTTTTTTTTGTTGTTGTTGTTGTTGGTTTGGTTTGTTTTTTTGGTTTTTTGGTTTTGTTTTTTTTGAGAATGGTTTTCTACCTGAAAGTGAGGAATTCATGATGCTGATGCCTTTCTTATGTCTCCCTGTCCTCAGTCCCATTCAGAGTTTCTTTATGGCACTGTGTATGTCTCTTCTTTGTTGTTTCGCTGTTCCTTGCAAGGCTTTTAAGAACAGGAAACCTCGTTCACTTAAGTAATATTATCTGCTAGTAATGATCTTCATCCCACTGGTTGAGAATTCTCTCAGCAAAATTAAATTGAAACTGTCTCCACACTGTCTTATTTTTTGTATGTATCAATCTAATATGACTGATAAGTGGCACAAAATATTAATAAAAAGATGAACTGCTTCTTAAAGCATTTAAAAAGATAGTAAAAAAACCCTTCATTTATCTATTAGCGCTCTATAAAAACACACTGTAATGCACTTGGTAGCACATTCTAAAATAATATCCTGTGCCTAGTTCTGCTTCCACATAATGCCCTTCCTTTAATTTGGAGATGGGATTTTAGGAGCCCAGACTTGTCCTCGGCTTTCTGATGCAGATTATCTCTGTGCAGTTTTCTGTTTTACTTTGTTTCTTTTTGGTTGTGTTGTTTGTGTGTGTGTGTTTGTTTGTTTGTTTTTGTGATGGGAGCATCTGTTATTTGGTGTAAGAGAAGCTGCCTTGCGCAGGAGGCTTCATCTGCTTTTGTTGGGTTTTTTGGGGAGGTTTGATAGGAAAGCATTAGTCTGCCCTCAGAGAAGGTATAGAAATTCTGT